TGGATGAGGTAATTGAGTGATATTTCTTGTTCGGCCCATGGGATAAGATATCACAAATGGTCCTTGAATGATTGATTTGGGAAGGAACTCCTTGTACGAAAGTTCATTGCTAGCGGTCATATTTCCAGGAAGGAAAGAATTTCACATGACTCTGTGACACAACACACATTCTAAGAACAAGACCTTTACCAGTCCATCTGGAACATTTATACACATGAAAGAGTTAAGTCATTATAACTAGAGAGGAGAATAAGTTACAAGTTACTTTCATGGCTCTCCAACATTTGGTATGGAATGTTCTTGTTCCATTCTTCTCTGTAACAGCTCTGTGATTTATTATAAAAAAAAAAAAAATAGAACCTGTGCACTCACAGTGCTTATTCTCCAACATTTGGTATGGAATGTTCTTGTTCCATTCTTCTCTGTAACAGCTCTGTGATTTATTATAAAAAAAAAAAAAAATAGAACCTGTGCACTCACAGTGCTTAAAGTGACCTTAAAACATCATTTTTTCCCCTCCTCCCAAAGTTAATGTCAGCACTTTAAATGATGTTTTTTAATCCAATCTTCTTCTTTCCTGTTGATTTTATCTGTCCCTCCAGCGCTGCTGCGGGTCTCTGATCCAGCGTCCATATACTTACAGGCCGAAAATCTGAACTGCGCATGCGCCCGCCCCAAGATCCTTTGCGGATGCCCAGGATTTTTCAGATTTGCGGACAGGAGCGTGCAGTGAAGACACGGGTAAGTTTTAACCTGTTTGAAAGGGGATTTTTTAAAAAAGTTTTTGCATATGTCTACTGCTTGCTAGCAGTAGATATATGCAAAAAAAAACAAAAAACCTGAGGGTTTAATAACCCTTTATCCTTTACTAGAAAAAAAAACCAGACCCCATTTTTCTGCACACAGTCGTTCTTCAAGAAAAGGGGACTACCTTTTACACACATTACATAGGGAACAATCAGGTCATTGGGTCAATTCAAATGGAGATGCAAGCTTATGGAAGAGTAAGTTGTGCAAAACGGTAATAGAGCTAGGTGCCTAATGCAAGATCAAGTGTACACACAATAACCATATATGGCTAAATCACGGGGTTGGTTTTAATTTTTTTTTATTTTATTATTTTTTACTCACTTTTTTTTCCACTTAATTTTATTGCTATCACACAGGGGCTAACAACTCCCTAAGTACACATAGCGTTTGGAGGTGACAGGTTCTCTTTATGAAGCCAGTCCTTCAATACAGAAGATCGAGCACAGAATTTTGGGCCAATATTTATGCGTATCTCTAAACTGATGACCTGTATGGGCTTTTAAAGCGTTGCTATGGGCTTTTTGGGGTACTGAATTTTGTTGCCGTTTCACAGACGCACGCAATTTTTAACTTGGTCATGTTGGCTATCTAAGTAGCTGTCAAGTAAAGAACCTGATAATCACTTCTGCAGTGTCTGCTCAGTGGATGATTGGGCAATATCTGTATGCTGCTCTTAAAGGAGAGGCAATAATTTGGGGAGTGCTGGGGATATAGTGCAAAATCTGCACAATGTTGTGAACGCCTGTGGTGTGCTTTGACCCTGAAAGCCGCTGCATGTCACATTGTGGATATACACACCCATGTAGAACTTTACACCCATCTTTGTTTCTGCAATCAAAAAAAGCACTGAACACTATATATAATAAAAAATAACATTGGACACTTTGTAAATAATAAATATATCATGTTTATATATTACATTATCTTGTTATAAAATGGTAAGTTTCCTTCATATACAAATCAAACTGTACAGTTCAACAGAAAAAAAATCAAGACATACAAAGTGATCTAGAGTTTAGAGACACTGGAGTTAGCAGCTAGACATGGAAGTGCTTATTTTGGATGTTCTGTCCCAGTATTAGACAAAAGAAAGTATTATGTAACCAGTCAATGTGCACAAAGCATCGCATTCCAGCATTGTCAACCTTCGAAATGGGTGCCACCTTTGTGGTTCACCTAAAAAGATTGGGTGGAGCAGCCAATATAATGGAGACTGATCTGAGGATTTTTTTATGCTGCATGCTATAAGCAGCCATGTGATTCTTGTCAAGCACCTTTTGCAAAAGACTGCAGTCATCTGCTTCCTCATAAAAGGTAACATACGCTCTGTTGCTCCTTCCTATAAACGATGAAGTTGTATTCTAACATTTTGGCTGCTTTCACCTTAAATGTTCCTGATACTTCTCCAGGGAGTGGTTCTGTATTATGGTTAAACATTTGTCAGAAAACAATGCACTGGTTCTGGTAAGTATTTTCCTGAATCCCTAGGGCCTACAACAAAATAATAAGCACTCATCTATATTAGTTTTCTGGAAGGAGTGCTTGTTATGTGGCCAGTCTATACATTCCATACATTCTGTGGTATAGTACAATGCAAACAATAACAATCTGCATATGTGAGGCTGTATTCTTTGCTGACTGCAGCAAACTATACCATTAAGCAAGGAGTTCTTCTTAGTTTACAATCTCTTATTCTTCTTTGGTGGACTTGGCTTCCAGTAGAGAGCCCATGAGAAAACAGCAATAATTAGTAAAGTAATGGTCATTGCCAGAAACCAGGCACCCACAGTGTGTGAGATTGTGGGAACAAAGCCATTCTCCAGTAGCCATGTCCTCCGCAGATTCATGTCCAGAATTAGCGCTTCCATCTGTAAGTATGTGCCAACGATACCACACACATGGAACAGCTGATGACTGTGACCTAAAGCAAAGAGGATTTCTGTTAGGGTTTTAGTTTAGAACATCTCAATAACATCAATGGGGTATCTTTAGTGCACTGATATGTAGCAAGCAAAGTTAAAATGGCACCTAAGAAAAGTCATGTTCCTCCCGTCAGGCTGTCCTGCAGCTGATTACCGGTTTCAGGCAATAGTTTGGTTAGGACATCATGTTGGGAAAGTTCCTTTTCATTCATTAATCACACATTGGTCACAAGCTACTACTTTATGCTTTTCTTCTTATGGGTTGACTCCTTCAAATAGTTGGAGTGATAATCTTTACAGATTATTTCGAATTAGTCTCCCCAGCAATGTTCTTACTGCCATTAACAATACATATACCCACTACAGTCCTTTCACCCATTCAAAACTGCTAAGAGAAAAAGATTGATAATGGTTTTTTTTTTTTAAAGTACTTGCCTCAGATATAACCACCTTCATATGGGACTAGCCAATCTATAGGAACATTCTTGCCCTATCTGCTAATGGCTTCAAATGAAAGATTGACAAAGTCCCCACTCTGACATCTAACCGCTATCCCAACAAGTTCCCTTTAAAGTTAAATTGTAGCTAAAGTATATGTAAAGCCACTGGTTAATAAAGTACTGCCCCCTCTACAGAATAACATATAAGGCTAGATGTTGTCCCACCAAGTTTGATCAAATCTGGGGGGAGAGGGTCACCTGTCCAGACTTTTGTTGACATCAGACTCCCGTCTGACGTTGTCGCCCATAATACAGCATTCCCAATATAACCATGCACACTCTAACCCTCCCCATAGGTCAGCAATTCCAAATGACAACCACACCAAATGATTGAGGTTAACTTCCTTTATTAAGAATCACAGGGCAGAAGGACAAAATGTATAACTACACAGAACAACGGTTTTCAGTTTGCATTATTTGTTTCTATGTACAAACTGTGAAACACAAAATCCTTGCGAACATTGTTACATGTTTATATCTATTTATTTTCATCGTAGTGTATATCTTGGCTATGGATCTGCTAAATGGATGGATCTAAAGCCAAAACTTTGTATTATTATTATTATTCTGGATAGAGTAGGGAATGGATAAAACCCTTTTTAGGGTTTTGGTTTTTTTTTTGCCTTTGGATAGATTTTCCTTCACTTCATGTCCCACGGACACATTAGGAATAAGAAGAAATGACCCCAAAACAAGAGAAATGCCCTTTAAGACAGTTGTCGCTAGAATGAATGTTCCCATTGGAAGACTTCTCCTTTAATCCCATTGGAAGACTTCTCCTTTAATCCCATTGGAAGACTTCTCCTTTAATCCTGCCCTGGTGACCGCTCAAATGTTTGGATTTCCACTCGCTTTCAGTCCCGGTAATAATAGCCAAAGAGGGCAATTCCCCCCAATGGAGACACAGACATTGATAAAACAAAGGCTCTAATCCATCATTACTCTATCCAAAACTTGAAAAAGAAGTTTTGACCTTAGATTGTATTTTAGTATTCCAGTTGACTTGCATTTCATACGGTCTACTTTTCACAGTAAAAGTAGCCAAGAACACAACATGGTGTGTACAAGAAATGTCCAGTGGATGGAACTCAATGTTAAGAGCTATCTGTAGAAAAGCAAGACACTTACCCACATAATCGAAGCACCCTGGGGCAAGCCTTTCTGGAAGGTGTGTGGAAAACAGGAAGCCAGTTAGGAAGGCAAGAGCTGTGTGCCAGAAATGCAGAGTAAGCACAGCATTGTGTGTGCAATCCCCGCCAGAGCACAGAAACAGCTGTGTAAAAAGAATATAGTTAGACGGCTGCATTGCACTACGATACAGTCTAAAATGTTGTCTAAAAGGAACTTTAGACAGCAAATGTATTATACACTACGGAACAATAATAGAAGTTAAAATATTACACCACATGTTCTAAGGATTTTTCCCTCAGTATCAGTTAAATTAACAAAGTTTATATCTCTAAAACTGATTAACCCATATACATAATGGTTCACAGGTACTATTTGGCCACCACCCCATCCCCAAAAAAGCTATCTTTCTCTTTATTTTTTTTTACTGAATATAAAGAGGTCTCTGGTAAAGTTATGCAGTTATCAAAAAATTATGTAAAAAAAATGGTCATATGGTATCCATTTTAAGAGTTAAATGCTCATTTCGTCTTGGGGTAAAGAATAAGCAAAATACTAACTTTATTCCTCACTCCCCCCAACAGACAAAGCTCTTCCCCGTCTTTAAAACTGGGCAGGGCCCCTGACATCCATACGTACAATGTAGGACCACTTGTCCTGCATTGTACATAATGACATCAAAGAGTCTGCGGCCAGTTGAGTGGCAAAGAGAGTTGGCTTTGGGGACCAGTTGTGCACCGGGGAGGAAGCCTGTGGGAGTGAGGAATAAGGTAAGTGTTTCAGGTTATTCCTACCTCCTAAACAAATGAGCATTTAACCTTTTTCAGTGCAGTGCAGAGGTTACCACTGCAATCATTTACTTTTGTTTTCCTTGAACTTCTGCTTTAAAATATGAATCATACACATTTCAGAAAAAATAAATACACGTTAGAAATTAGTAGAAACTGTCATTTAAGGCCTGTAAGCACCTTAAAGTAACACTAAACTCAGGAGTTCTTAAAAATGCATTTAAGTACCTTAATTATTAACAAAAATGTTTCTTATTTGTGTATCATCTCTGAATTCATGCTGACACTGTCCTTCCTTCTGGAGGATGGCTACTTTTGTTCACCATGGTACCGGTGTATGTTGTAAAGTAGTCACCGCTCCAAGCTCGCTCCTGTGATGGACTACAATCTCATGTTTAGTTTACTAATTTGTATTAAATTGTAGTCCATCACATGAGTGAGCTTGGAGTGGTGACTACTTTACAGGACACACAGGGATCATGGGGAATAAAAGTAGTCACCCTCCAGAAGGAAGGACAGTGTCGGCACCAATTCAGAGATGATTTGAGGATCTACAGCCGAGTGATACACAAATAAGATACATTTTTGCTAAGAGATAAGGTACTTCAATGAATTTTTAAGATATAACGCTGTAACATTGATATAAAAATATAAACAAAAACATACTCCCTGCAAAAGAAGTCTCTGTCCTGCAGCCCTTGCCCTCATTCTTCTCTGGTTTCCTGACATACCCCTGCCTTAACTCTCTTCGGCATCAGACACTCTTCAGGGAGTGTTGGATGACTGGTCCTCCACTGCATGCTGTAGTTCCTCCTGTCGACCCCTATGTCTCTACTGTGTCCTATGCTAAACACAGAGGTTGGTGGAAGGAACCACTTAGGGGAATTGGGCTGGGCATCCAACAGTCCTGGAATTATTGAATGCCGAAGACATTTTAGGTATTGGTACCACAGGAAAAAAGAGAAGAACTGTAGCACTGGCTTCAGGACAGGTGAGTGAGTATTAAAGTATTTATTTTGTATGTTCCTGTAATTTTTATCAAGGTTACAAGGTCTCTTTAAGGCTAGCCACAATCATGAGGTGCAGGACAGAATAGCCAACCTTTCCATAAACAACCTCAAGAAAGTTGGTTTTGATAGAAATATTCTTTGAGGGTTGCTACTGTTTCTCGGATATAAAACCAGCGCTAGGTGTGGACATTGCAAGCATCTGTGCATGGAAAGATCTTTCCCTGGTTAGTTCTTATAATCTTAGTCTCATGTCCACAGCTAGATAGATAAATAAATAAAATACGAACATTGCTACAGAGTGTGCCCAGAAAGTTTACCAGACAAAAAAAAAGCCTGATACAAAATAACAATGAGTTGATTCACAATGTCCCACCAATTGTGCCGCCCAGCTACATGTCATACCCGATAGAACAATGGAATGCTGTCAAACAGGTAGGGGTATGCAAAGGCAGTCGTCCGCAATACTTTGCTGAGCCGTGGGCGAGTCTCTTCTGGAAACCTGCAAATACAGAGAAACTAAGAGGAGCAGGTAACACCACTGATTGACCTGAGCTTGGCCAGCACACAGGAATGACAACAAGCATTACTGTACAAACGTTCTCCACGGGTACACACAAAATCGGTTAAATTAGAGGCAGAATTAGTCTGATAAGCTAGTAATTAAATTTGCACCAATTATCAAACATGCATAATATTTTATGTGCAAACGTTAAAGTGTACCTGTCATGTCAGTAAAACCACACTGGTTTTGTAACTATTTTGGATGACAATTTATAACAAAACCAAGGAGCTTATCTATTTATGCTGAGAAAATTTGTATCTGTTACATTTGTCTATGTGCATTTTCAGTTGCAGCCTCATAATGTCAAGTTATGATCAGTGTTTGCTGTCAAGCTGTGAAAAGGAAAAGATGACGGCCACACATTCGGGCGAAAACCTACATTCCAAATGACCGGAAAACATGCTTTTGTACGCATGCGGGCACAACCACAAGTGTGCGCGGGAAGACGCGCACACGTCCGACGCACAGGAAGTAACACCTCATCTTATTGGATTGCCCTATATCAGCAAGCCTGCCTTTTGCTACAGTGTTGATGGTCTTCAGCTAGTACTCCTGAACCTGTTGGATAGTCTGTTGCCCTGTTCTTGACCCGGATCGTTTTACTCTCTCTCTGCTTGCTCCCTGCTCTTTGACCTTGTCCTGTTTCCTGGACTTCCCCTTGCCTGTTGTTTTTGTACCCCGCTGCCCCGCTGGTTCTGACCTTGGCTACCTCCACTGCGCTTCTGCCTCTACGCTGCCCGCCCGGTTTGACCTCGGCCACGTTGACTACCCTGCTTCTGGGCATCTCCAGCACGGTGCCCAGTCTCCTTATTGGCACTCGTGCTTCTCGCTGTCCTCCCACACTCTGTCCCCACCTCCAGGGGGTGCAAGATACAAGATACAAGAGAGGTCTGCTCTTCCCCTGGTCTCCTACCAGGTGGGTGACAAGCTGCCTCAGGATAAGATAAAGGGGAGAACAAACACATTGAAGACAAGCTTGAAAGGCAAATACTCATCACATGAAGACAGGTGCACTGTAATGCTTGCCCTTGAAACATATTTCAAGTTCTAGAACAGGTCAGTTTAGAAGACCACAATGCAGTTGGGATACAAATATTGTTTAATTAATAATGGCAAGGACTGCCCCACATTTACAGATTAGACCCAGAATGGACAGTAGAAAGGACAGGAAGTGTAGGTCTTTGCCTCCTGCCTGCTATTTACCTTTCTGCCAGAACCTGGTTATAATGCAGAACGGGAGCACCCAGCCTGTCAGCAACAGTAACAAAGGTAACAATGAGAGCAAGAATTTGTGAGGAAATTGTATCTCTGATGAGGGACATCAAACCATTGCAGACAAAAAGACATTACATAGTGGTACTTTTTTAAAAGCGGTTCTCCTGGCTGATCTCTATAATGGTTAATTATTTCAGATAGGTTAATCTTTAGTTACTCATAGATATTTGGGGGCCACTTTATGAACGTAAACCCAGGAATATTTGAATTCTTAAAGTAGTACTCTATTAAACTCCCAAACTTTTTTTCAATAATGAATCCAGATCAAGCAAATATACATTGCCCAACAAAGCATTGCTTTACATTTTTGCCCAAACACTTACAATCATAGTGTTTCTGAACAGCTGCTTCCACGCCTCTCAGCTTAGCTTCCCTAAACTTCCTGTCCAGTACAAATTCACAAAGGACAGTGCAGACTCCACCAACTGTTCATCTTCCAGCTTGAAGAAGGGAGGATGGGGGAAGAGGGGGCCAGGGAGGAGGGCAGTAGCTTAAAATCCTTTTAACTTTAATATCACTTTAAAATTAAAAAGCCCTGATCCAATCCACTTGCTGGCAATGTTCCCAGTATTTATAGCCAGGGGGAAATTAATCAGGTGAAAGCTAGACTGGATTGGTGAGCAACAGATCTGCAGAAAGAGTGCAGAGAATTATCTGATTTGGAACATATCGATTGGAAATAAAAGGGTTTGGTAGGTCTGAGCAGATGAATGCTAATCCTGTCAAAAGCATGTGGTGGCATAGATGACTAAACAGTGAGCGATGAGGCCAACACATAAACGGTTAGAGTAAAACGAATGAAATAAATCACAGTATGTGATCATTCATCGCTATATAAATAGGTGCCTATGTTTCAGCTGACAAGCAAATGCAACCGGTTTTGTTTGACAACTTTACTGTATGTGTGTAGTACAAACACTGTGTGGATTTTAAAGAATCTTTTCATGGTGACAGTTTGTTTAATAACAAATACCTATCATCTAATGTCTATCTAGGTTTGAATGGAACAAACAGGTCAAGGCAAAGAAAAAACACAGGCATTTTGCATTCATTATTTAAAACTAGCAATTGTGTGTCTGTTTATAAATTACTTAATTTACTGGTCATGGAGGAAGACCAGGTGTAAATGGGTTGTGGAGATGGGGGGTATAGGAAGCAGAGAGGGAACTGGTCATAGACCAAGGGCTGGATCATGGATGGAAACCATGAGAACCATGAGGAAAGAAAAGAAGGCACAATGGCAGCTAAACATGGACTTGGAGGCACTACTAAGCATACTCATGGACCATTGAGAGAATAGATAAAGTGGGTCTGAACATGGTTTGGGGGGCGGGGACAGAGGGGAAGATCATTGTGACTAGGTGGAAGGAGATAGAGTAGAAGCTGCTCAAGAGAGGGGAGGAAAGAATGAAGGAAAAGTGATAACTAATTGTTGCTGGGGATGGGGGAAGAGAGGATTGGTAGCAGTTAGTATTCCATTGGGTGAGGATTTAGAGAAGGTCTGTGGACCTATAAAAAAGCCTGTGGACAGCTAAGACTAATTTATGAGGTCTGGCTAACAGGCAAGAAGTGGACCTAGGACTGGAGGCTTTCTTCTTCCAATAATCTTTATTCATTTTAAATAGTTTCAAAACATCAAATTTCAACATTATTGTTGTTCATTATTAGGGGACAATAAACAAAAAAATTACATATTAAAAAACACTATACGTACCCCTTATAACCTTTTCAATTTTCTAGATATCTTCTTCGCTTGTGTCCGTACAGCACCATTCATCATTCTCCTCACACGTTTCCAAACCAAAAGAAAAAGAACCCCTACCCTTATTGATTTTTCTCTCTCTCCCCAATTCCCACATACCTTCCCCACTTTACATCTTAGTCCTCAGATTCTAAATTCTACCTGATAGAGTCATTTAGAAGTCTACTGACATGTAATTTTGTATCCATAGGACTAGAGGCTTTATCTCACCCAAAGCTTTACAAAGCCTCCAGGCCACAGACTAGAACTTATTATACGCCTCCTGCCAGTCAGTGCCTCACTATATACAGTGGGTATAGAAAAGAATCCCCCCCCCCCTTTATAATAATCACATTTTGCAGACACAGTTTTTGTTTTATTCAGCTGCATTTACTCAGTGCAACTTTTAACATCCAAGTCAAAAATATAATACCAACATGTCAGAAAAAAATTAAAAATTCAAAAACAGAATGACCGAGTTGGAAAAAGGATCACCCCCTCTAAAAATGACTTGTAAACTCAATCAGGCGTAGCTAATCGCCTTCCCAATGGCACACAAAGCCATTTGACTTTCTACGGTGATCTGCTGTGGTCATTTTGATTAGCTCAGCATGAAAAAAAGCTTTCCTGGAGCATGCAACTTAAGCAAACAATCAACTATGGGTGGCAAGGCACTGTGAAAAGATCCCTGGGATAAAGTTGTGGACAGTCACAAGTCAGTAGACTTATTAATGCCTAGAAGAACAGTGAAGTCCATTATTAAGAAATGGAAGGTATTTGGTATAACACAGAGCCTGCCTGATCAGGACGTTGCTTCAAACTGGATGAAAGAACCAGGAGGAAACTGGTCAGACTGGCTACCAAGAGGCCTACCGCAACTCTGAAGCAGTTGCAGGAATTTATGACAAAGAGTGGTCATTGTGTGCATGTGACAACAATATCACAAATTCTCCACAAATGTGGCTTGTATGGGAGGGTTGCCAGAAAAAAGCCACTCCTCAAGAAAGGCCACATGCAGTCATGAGCTATGCCAAAACGCACCTTGAATGAAAATTCCGGTAAGTATGAGATAGTTTTCCATGCAGAAATTATTTTTGATGGTTACTGCAATGACACAACACTCAATGTCCTGCAATAAACTAGGCAACTGCCCAATGTAATCACCTGGATGTGCATCAAGTTAATACAGATGCTCGGTCTACAAAAGATAATGGAATGCAAGGTCCCATGTCTACATGGAGATAGTGTATTAAAATCCATCCTTCAGGGAAAGAGACCAAATAAAATGATGGATACATGAATGGATACAATGTATAATATGGATCTGCATGCTGCAAACTTCTTTTTTTCTTATGAGAGGCTTTAAAGAGGAACTTTACCCTTATCTTTAAAAGGAACTTTTAGAAATGTTTATTAATAGCGATCTACAAAACAGATACTTATAGATAATTGTACCATTCTTATTCTTTGCATACCTTATTTTTCTTTTCCTCCCCATTCTTTTCATTGTGGCCATATTTACGAAGGGAAGATTAATTCATCTCCCTTCACTTCCAGGAACTCTGGCACATGTGACTAGGACATATGACCATGCACATCATCTCAGAGGGAAAAAATGCCTTTCCCTGAGATCTCCCGAGATTTTGCAGTTCACAGATTAGACTTTTCCAGCAATACCTTCACAGGATGCATCGCTTAGGCACAGGCTACATCACTAATGCCTAAGAGGACCAGGAAGTAGAAAAACAGTAATTGTAAGTAAAAGCAAAATATGTTTGTTTAATCTTGAATCTTTACATCTTGAATGTAAGATGATTTCAGATCAGCATGCAGAGCTGCTTGCTGATGTGATTTTTAGTGAAAGGCGGTAAAGGTCCACTTTAAATGCATCGCACATTTTTGTATATGTTCTCAACTAAGAGCAAAACATTTTTTGGTGCCTTTACAACATAACATAGTATTAGGCATGATGTATTTTTCCTTGACTCTGATGGGATTCCTTATCATGGTTTTGGCCTGGGCATCATAATGGATGGGTAAATTGTAGCAGGGATGTAAAAAGATTCCTGTTTTTGGCTTTCCTATTACATGCATAAGATAACTATCATGACATCTATTGACATACCTGGAGTAGCAGGATATTGCCGTGCAAATGATTGTGTTGAAAACAGCCCATGGCACAAAGTAATGATGGAAAGAACTGTTAACCCACCGGTCCGGGAATACATATGCAGAGTAAGCAACAGCTGACCCTAAAATGTCAAATTAAATATAGGTGATTAAGAAAGATGCACAGAGACAAGTGATACAATGCAGCAGTACAAAACTGGTTCTGGGTCAATGTCTTAGAACGTTCCGAAGCCATTATATCAGCATGACAGCCAGGAAAATCGTTTTCCCAGGAGAGGTCTGTAATGGCAGCCTCCATATTTCCGTACTACAATGCTAAGATGGAGCCACCTTCAGCTACCAAAGGATACAAGTGTTTAGTTTCCCCCAAGTGTGTAAGGAGATAAAACAGGCAAATGACAGGTGATAATCTTGTAGAGTCTTACCAAGACTGTAGAGACTTAGAGCTCCATAGTCCAGAAAGAAGCAGATGTGTCGTGCCTGGGTAGACATGATACTGAAGGTATGCGCAAAGGTGGACATCAGTGGATAGATGCAGCAGGATAAAAGGTAGATCAACAGAGGCCACATAAATGGATCGTATAGGGATCCAGGAGAAATCAGGATAGACATCATTCTCCATAGGAAGTACCTGCAAAAGGATACAAAAACACCTATTATGCATTTAAACCAGGGGTTTTCAACCATATCTTGTAAGAGGTCCCTAGGTGCTATGTCACCTCTACCATTGCAGCGGATTCCTTTCTGGCCAACGGTAGTTTCAGTATCATTATCACCCTTTAAGGTTACTGCTGCAGCAGATCAACATCTATCGAACAGTTCATTGACCTGCAATAGCTGAGTGCCCCCAGGCAGATTGATGTCAGCCCCAGATAGGCTGGATGGACATTTCCATACCACAAGGATGGATATAAAACAACAGATACGTTCCAGGTGGAAGGGAGATTGAAAGGGAAAAGAGGATCACTATATTTACATCTCCATACAGGCGTTCCTATGTGCTGGGTGCCAAATATTCCATCACTGTGAAACCATCAGCGCCAATGCACTGTTGGTGTTTCCACTAAACACCAATACAGAGCTAGGGTGTATTTATAAACAATGCACAGATCCATTCATCCTGCGAAATTGCATTTCCAGGTTGAATGTAATATCAGGAAAATACTGCATTATGATCACTAGATGGAGGTGAGGAGCACAGGAAATAAATACTTCTTTACTGTGCTTCATCTAGTGGCCATAATGCTATATTTTTCTGATTTTAGATTCAATCTGTAAAAAAATACACTAACAACTGTGGTTTTTGCCAAATGTACATGAAATTTTGCAGGACAGACAGTTTTGTGAATGGTTTATGAATACACCCCTTAGTGTGTCCACTGAGCACTGCTGCACAGTTAGTGTAAATTTTATGTTTTTAATCATTATTATATCTACAGCTCATTGATCACGCTAACATCTCATGAGCTGTAGATCAGAAAAATGTCAGCGTTTCCTAAGATCTCAAATTTTTTTCAGGGGCTCCTCAAGTGTGAAAAGTTTGAGAAAGTTAAAATTGCCCTATGCAAAAGCACGATGTTGAGTTGTTACGTAAACATAACGGAGTATTTCTTTGAATTCTATCAGCATTTTTCTATTTAGTATCCAACATTATTCACATCCAGTATTATTTTGGTGTAACCTTATACAGCCATCATTAGTCATTTTGGCATGAGAGACATAAAAAAGTAGAGAAGATGTTGTTCTGGAGGTTATAGTTTAGGTGTAGTTTTGTCACAGAGCCAAGTCTGGAAACAGCATAATAAGATGTCAGTGTGTGTATGTGAGAACACACCATATATTGTTAAAAGTACATGAAATACTCGGGAAACAAAACTAAGTAAATTGCTCATCTGTGTTGTGTTTGACATTCATAAAGCGAGAAACTGACGCACTTTACTTTTTTTTAGAATCAAAGTATTAATATGGAGCACCTGATAACAGCATTTGGGTCTGAGACCCTGTCCCTTTTCAAACTTCCTTATTCCCTAATTTCAGGTTCAGAGTTAAATCTTAAAAATGCATTCAAGTACCCTAACTATTAACAAAACTGTATCTTATTTGAGTATCACTCAGCTGTGCATCCTTAAATCAGGGGTGCCCATAAGGTCGATTCGCAAAGCTATCGTTGGTAGATCGCGGGCCGATTTCCAGTCCCGCGCTCCGTCCCGCTGTGTTTGTGTGCCCGAAAGTGTGGGATGCTGAAGCATCCGACACATTTGGCCCGCCCCTCCCTGTCTGCAGCAGCCAATAAACTTTGCTGCCTCTACCCACCCGCAGAGACATTTGGCCCACTTCTGCGTCTTCAGCGTCCAACACATTTGCCTCCCGCACGCAGAGATATTCGGCCCGCCCCACCGTCTTCAGCGTCCAACACATTTGCCTCCCGCACGCAGAGACATTCGGCCCGTCCCTCAGTCTTCAGCATCCAATAAACTTTGCATCCCGCGCGCAGAGACATTCGGCCCTGTCTTCAGTGTCCAACACGTTTGGCCGGCCCCTCACCGCCCGCAGCTTTGGACACATCTGACCCGCTCCTCCCAGTCTGCAGCATTAGGCACATTAGGACCACACCTTCCCACCTTCAGTGTCGGATACACCATCGTGCCTGAAGAGCCAGAAGGTTCTGCCAGCAGGTTCTATTGGCAACTTACAGGTTGAGTGAGAGCTGGCAGTATGGGGTAAACAAAAATTTCTATAATTAAAATGGCTGAGCAGATTAGATCTCTAAGGGCCGGTTCACACCACAAACAGTGCGTTCCAGAGCGGTCAGACTCGAACGGACTATATCACACTATGGCCGGTTCCCTGCGTTTTTCAAATACATGTGCTTTTTTTCATTGGTAGATCTCATTGAGCTCGTCATTTGAAAAATAGATCTTAACACCAAAAATTGTTGGCACTCCTGCCTTAAATCATCTCTAAATTGGTGCTGACACCGTCCTTCCTTCTGGAGGGTGGCTACTTTTGTTCCCCACTGCTCCAAGCTCACTCCGTTTTGCACTACGATCTCAATACAAATTAGCTAACTAAATGTGAGCTTGTAGCCAAGTGGTTCTCAACCTTTCTAGGGCCGGGACCCCTTGGTAACATTTGCAAAGTTTTGGTGACCCCCTCTGCAGCAATGTCTGGCGGTGCAGCGGGAGAACTGACACTGCTGCGCTGGGAGACTCAGGAGCCTCTCACCTAGCGCAGAAGGCACGTGGCAACCCACAATTTGAGAAACAATGCTGTCCTGTCCCATCCCCCCTCCCCCCCCTGTACTGTGCCATTCTTCCCAGCTGAGTGATAAACAAATAAGCTACATTTCTGTTATTAGATAAGGTACTTTAATGCATTTTTAAGATTTTACTCCTGAGTTTAGTGTCACTTAAAAACTTTACTCATCTGCTCTGCAGACTGAAAGTTTAAAATCAAAACAATATTCTGGAGTTTTATGTTAATAGCACTGTATGGTGGCTAATTTTCTTGAAATTGGGGGGGAAACCCCATAAAGATCCCTTTCTACATTACGACAGTCATAGTGGAAGATCAGCGGTAGCTGGTCATGGACACTAAAAAGGCACCCGGATGTGTAGGCCTGATTTGCCCATCCATGCCCAATCTCAGGCATGTTTGTTGGTTGTTATTGGCAACTGCTTAAGTTTAGACCTATGGATAGAGGTGGGGTGGAAGTGGCTTATCATGGGTAAACAAAAGATTTGGAGGAGGTGAGATAACCTGTCTGGCCACTATTTTCCCGGAAGAGTCTTGGCCAACAGCCAGGTAATCCATGCAGATTAGACTAGGGAGTATGCAATCTTGGCACTGGTTCCACAACAGCTGGCGTTGCGAGGTTGCCTACACCTGCATTAAATCGCCACCCAATTCTGAAAACGGACAGATTGGGAGACTGTCATCTAACTATACATACCTTTCCTATTCCCATTTTGATAATTCATGGCAATTGGTAGACTTCTTGCTTGCCCTATCTTGTGAAGACTTTACAGCAAGTATAAAAAAGAATGGGTCAAGTAATTCTTTAAAGGGTACTTATAAAGACAAAAGAAGGAGTTGATTGGCAGATTTATAAGATTGCAGAGACAGAAAAGACCCAGAAAAAAAGATCAGCCTTTCAGAATCACAGAGTGTGGAGGATCTGTAAAAAAGAGATAAAGTGGAGTCACTGACTGTCTGCAATAAAGTAAAACAGAAAGTCCAGTTTGAAAGCATTAAAGATGAAATAGAGTGAAAAACAAGGGTAGCGTAAAGACCAGTGAGAAATTCTCCAATCAGATCCATCACAGCATCTTCCGGACACTGTGGAATTGAATTCTTACCAGGATGGTATAAAGTGTGTCCAGATATTAAGGGTCTCATTGGTCATCTGGAAGAGACTTAGGACACAATCTAAGGCAGAGCTCCGCGGGGAGCGATATCCACATATAATGCTATCTTCATGAAATACCTGAGACACAGATAGAAGGCAGGTTTTGGAGGTTATACAGTATATACACATAAAACATACAGACATTTTACCTTTAGAGTCAGTGTCTTGGTACTCACTTTGGGCACTTGCTGAACAGTCAGCAATCTGGGTAGCTTCCAGCTTAGCATGGCGCTGGCTCAGTGTTCCCTCCTTAATTGCTGTTGATTCAGTTCTTGTTGCTGGTTCCTTCAATCAAGGTTCTCAGTGCACTATGTACAAAGTGAGGACATACATGTGTCACTAAGCAGCCTCCAGTTTTACAGTATGCCGCTCATAGCACATTAACATACTCTGTTACATGGATATACCGCTCATTCCACACCTTATCTGTTTACACATTCCTTTTTCAAAGTCAATCACAGCACAGGTATCACTCCATGAAAAAAGGGCAAACTGCCAGGTATAAAAGGACGCAATGCAAACGCACTGGTTAGTATCCTAGCATCAATGCATAGTTAGTCCTTAACATACAAGCCCTATAGCTTGACCAGTAACTTGTGGAAGGAAGAAGGAAGGTGTGCCTAGTGCTACCACGAGAAACCAATGTATCAGTTTAACAGATGCCTGTTATGAGAAAGATACGAAGACTGCCATTGATGACCTCTTCTTATGAATATACTATCTTCCTGCTTGTCATGCTGATCCAATGGCTTTGATACTTTCTGCATTAATAAATTGAAACAAGTGTAAGGATAAGGAATTTTGACTTTTCAATAGATGCATGTTTGCCCAAGCCAGGCAGACATGTATCTTCATAAGATTATCAATGACAGCCCATTTATCTTATAATAATAATGCAGCAAAGCAAACACAGATCCTTATTTTTCCATATTTGTCCCTGCTTTTGAACACGGCACACAATAAAATCCCTCTTTTTAGCAACATTATATTTAGTTATAACTATCAGTTTATAATATCTCTGTATTATAATGCTCAAAAAGAAGGATTTAAAATGAACAAAAATATACAATTCAATAAAATGCAAAAAATAAATACAACTCAATATATTGTGAGAAAAGGCTATGAGCAACTACTGTTACTCTGAAAAATAGTTTCAAATGTTATCAACTATGCAGGATTAATTTGCGGCTATAGGCAGTTTTTATATTCCACCTTCTCCGGCTGGTAATAATTGCTTGTAAAAGACATACCACCTCCTACATCTTCCGTGTCACAAATGTACACATCGCACATCTTCACACATCATGGATCAGACATCAGTGCTTTAAATCTCAAGTTCAGTGAATGAGGTTTTATGCCCCAAATCGGAAGCCTACCTTGTATACCTCTCTAATCTTCCCATAATCCTGCACCCCTTGGTGCCAGGCTCTGGATAACCTAATGAATGGAGTCCTCAGCTGCTTTACAACTACAGTTATAGTTGCTCCACCTGCCCTGTCAAGTTAATGTCTGTCTGAGAGAGATTGTTTGTAATTCAATGTCATGTCCTAAGAGCATTTAAATAAAAAGGAATATTTCAGTAGTTAATCAGTAACCAAAAAAAAGGGGATGGGTTAGTTAAAATGTAATTGGAAAAAACAGAACCTGATCTAGCTCCGGATGTACAAGCTCATAGTCAGGTGCTTAGTGTGCCTACGTGACCAGGGCTGACAGAGAATACGGACAGTGTGACCCAAAGAGCTCACACTTCAGTTTTAAATCAATGTCATAAACTATAAGCTGACATCAAATGCAGTGAAAACCATTACTTCCTATGTAGAGCAGGTTTAATCTCAACCCTGCCCTTTTTCCTTTCATACATACACACACCCAAAGCTTTGCTGCACTCTCACAGTTGAATATTTGAGCTGCAATGCAACAGACGCGAGTAATAGTATATTTTATACCGGATACATGCAACACTGATAGGCTTTCTGCAGGGATGCATAAAATGCATTAGAAGAAAGGTGGCTTAAATGTAAAACTCTAGAACTTAAATCCTTACACACTCACCTAAGAAACACAGTAGGGACATGCTCCTGTAGTCTGTTCTTTAATGTTCCATCTTTGCCATCTCAACCTTTCACATCCCCACTTTTATATCAGTGTTCTGTCACTGTCTTCACCTTTTGCCTTCTCAGTCCTCCTCACATGCTTTAGATTCTCTGTTGCCCCAAACACCCAGGACTTGTTAGACTGGTTTGTAGGGATTTCGCGACCAAACTTGACTGAGTGCCCCATGGTGACAAGCCTGTGTGACTCAATAAAACTCAACACACACTAGCAGCATGCTCTGCCTCTGCCTTTCCAGAGCAAAGAAAAAAATTACTAAAAGGAATTATATTCCGGGCAGATCCCAAATTACTCAACAAGTGAAGTGCATCACCAGGAAGAATGTCTCTGTAATAGATGAGATCTACATGAGGACTTCCAACAGAATTTAAAGTGACGCTAAACTCAGTTAAATCTTAAAAAAGCATTTAAGTAACTTAACTATTAACAAAAATGTATCTTATTTGTGTATCAGTAATTTGTGCTGACACTGTCCTTCCTCCTGGAGGGTGGCTACTTTTGTTCCAATGCATTTATAAGACTGAGTTTAGTGCCACTTTAAATTCTGTTTGTATGAGAGAAGATCTCCATGAGAACTTCCAATCCTTCCAAGACATTCTTCCTGGTGATGCACTTGTTTAGTGATTTGGGATCTGCCCGAGATATAATTTCCTTTAGTCATTTTTTTCTTTGCTCTGGAAAGGAAGAGTATGTTGCTAGTGTGTGTTGAGTTTTATTGAGTTACATGGGCTTGTTACCATTGGGCACTCAGTCAAACTAAATCCCTGCAAACCAGGGATCCTTTAGAAAAGGATATCTAAACAAAAGTAACAAATATGGAAGATGGAGAACAATGATGGGTTAAGGGGTTGACTTATGTGTTTCTCAGACCATTTGGATCTGCCTTATCAGGAGGTGTGGTAAGCTTGTGTATTTCTATAAATGAGTATTAGTTAGTCACAGACCAGGGCCAGCTCCACAGAAGGGTTGGGGTGGGGGGCTTCAAAAACGTGATTGTATAGCCATAGTCTGTGAGGTACATTTTTAAAACACCTTATATGTTCCTGCGATTAACGCAATCCTCATAGTGGACACTTGCAATAAACAGGTTTGCATGTTTCCACATACTACGAATAGTCCATCATCAACTTTATTGTCCAATACGAATAGTCCATCACTACTTTATTTTAGATGTCTGCAGTATATTAGGAAAAATCTGGTTTAACTGAGACAACGCGAACTAAAGAAGCTCTATCACTAGTGGAGACATCTACTTTATATTTAAAATGTATTTTGTTATCTGAAGGTGATCTCCCCCCTTTGGGTTTTGAGAGAGCACTTTCACATCCATTCACAACTAGACCGAGCGCAACTTATTTGCCACATAAAGAAGCAGAGTGTTTTAGAACATGTTATTATGGGAAGCAACACCTGGTAATTATTATTATTCAGGATTTATATAGTGCCAACAGTTTGCACTGTGCTCTGCAAAATATGGGGAGCCAGTACAATTATAATACAATACCATACAAAAGGATTAGAAGTACTTTGCTCATGAGAGCTTACAATCTACAAGGAGGGGGAAGTGATACAGAAGGTAATAACTGTGAGGGATGAGTTGAATGAAAGAGTAGTTGTACCGTTTTTAATAGGAATAGGCTTCCCTTAAGAGGTGAGTTTTTAGGGATTGCCTAAAAGCAGACGGAGTAGGAGATTGCCAGATAGGTTGTTCCAGAGGATTGGAGAGACTGCAGAGAAGCCCTGGAGGCGAGCACAGGAGAAGCTGATGAGGGAGCTAGAGAGCAAGAGGTCTTGGGAGGAGTGGAGAGGACGATTTGGATGATATTTTGAAATAAGTTTGGAGCTGTAGCTGGTAGCAGAGTTGTGGATGTCTTTGTATGTTGTTAGTGTTTTGAATTTTGGAAGCCAGTGGAGAGGTTGGTAGAGATGGGTAGTGGCCACTGAGATGTTTGTAAGGTCTAGCAGCAGCAGCATTCATGGTGGTCTAAAGTGGATAGCCTGTGTAGAGGTATGCATGCTTCTCTATTCTGAAGATTATCCATCACCCAACAGTGCTTACTTCAGATGACTAGAGTGTTAGAGACTGAGACATATCTCAAACTGAAGGAGCAGGGTATAGCATAATATATGTCACTATGTCTCAAACTGCATGCTTCAAAAGACACAGGAAAACAATAAGTAGTATTCACGCCGGCCATGTTGGATTCACCAACACACACAGAAAGACTGTCCCCAGATCGCTGCTGGCTGCGGTCCTTCCCCCTAGTCCTTCTGTGTGTGATGGTGAATCCAACATGGCCGGTGTTAACCATTTTCTTTAATGACACCTTTACACATGACTGCATGGCACTAACAACAAATTTGTTTACAATATATGCATCTTTTGTGCATTAACATGTGCTAAGGAGGCCTGCACATTAAATGCACACAAACCCAGGTATCATATGTTTTTGTGCTCTTTTACGCCATCTTCACCAAGGGAAAAAAAAAAGATCCTGTTACCAGATCACCAATTTCAACAACAGTCTTCCCAAACGGTTATATGTGCATTTAATGTATTTTATGCATGTTATTTACCTGTATATGTCTGCCTCGTGCCTCCAAAAGCCCTGAGACTGCTACCGGGTGCCATCTTGGATGTGGTGTCAGAAGCCCAAGTTCATGTGACACTCTATAGAATTCTATTTCTCTCCTTAGCCAGCAGCTACATAAAAGGCTATTGGGGGGGGATTATTGATCAAAACCGGAGCAGATAGAATCTGGGGCAGCGGTGTGTGGCAACCAATCAGCTTCTATCTTTAATTTTCAAAACATAACTGAAGACAGAAGCTGATTGGTTACTATGGGTAATTGCTACAGATTCTGGCTGCTTCAGTTTTGATAAATTCCCCACAATGGAGGAAGGTAAGGGGAGAGGCAGAGGAACTATGCCAGCACAGGTAGTGAGGAGACACCCCAAGTAGAGCAGATGACTATGACATGCATGCAAGGAGGGATGGTGCTTTCTAGTAAAAAAGTCAAATTTACTAGCAAGTTCAAAGGCATATTGCAAGCGAATGAACAGTTGTTTATGGAAAGGAAAAATGCTGCATGAAGGCATTTAAAATAGCTGATTTTTCTGTGCTTTTATCTACAGGTTGATGACAGGGTCTCTTTAATGCC